TTGCAGACTCGGGTGCGACGGATCATATTGTGAATAAGAATATAGTTCTGTCGAATTTTGAAAAATGTAAAAATAAAGTCATTAAATGCGCTGTTACGTCCGATTTTTATGGGGACGCGTGTCTCGCAGAGAGACTAGGGAAATGAGAGAATAGGGTGGGTGGTTGGTTGAATGAGTTGAAACATCTTGGAAGGAACTAATTATATATTATAAAAGAACGATTACAAAAGAAAGAGAGAGAGATGACAAAAAAATTTAGAGAGGGAGAGGACACAGGGCTAATGTAGCGCGGGCATGTCCTTCCCCCGAGGGTGGTGCCTGGGCCGCCTTACTAATCGGACCTTCTGGGGGAGGGCCTCAATCCTGACCACACAGGGTCGGGTCGTGCGAGGGGCCAGGCTTCTCTGCTGGGCCTTCTGCTCCGGTGGTGGCCTCCTCGTCGCGTCCGCCGGTGGTCCAGGAGGCGCGCTGCCCAGGCTGGACGTTGGAGGCCTAGGCGCTGGGGTAATGAGAGGGCGCGGAACCCATGTTCTGGCCGGGCAAGGGTCCGGAGGCCTGTACGGTGGTAGGAGGTGTGAGTGCCCGGGGGCTAGTGGAGGGTTCGAGGGAGAAGGAGGATGACACGGGAGCGCTGGTTGTTGGGGCTCTAAGGCCTTGTCAAATATCCTGGGGTCAAAGACCCCAGGGGTAGCGTACGCTCGTGCTAATCGTCTGAGCTGGACTTTGCGTCCAGCTCGTCGCGATCTGCCCATGTCTGGGAGTGCCTGCGGGAAGCATCTCGAGTTAGCTGAGTTACAAAGCGGGGGAAGCACTGCATGCTGTTAGTCATGATTGTAACTTATGCTAATTTACTATTATAAATCCCTTAAATAGGCACTCAGAGAAGGGTAGTGGTTTCAAAATCGCGGAGGTTGAAGTGAGACTGAAACTTCAGACGCTGTTGTTTAAGTAGAATGCTCAGAGGGATTCTTCGATTATAATAATCGAGTTCAGTGCCGTCATCACTGCATTCTTGGCAACTTCTGATTCATATTATTTTCGTAGGGAGACCCGAGAGTGAGTAATGTAACAGCGGTTTACGTTAATCTGAAAATGGAACGTGTAAGTGGCAAATCAAATGTAATTACGTTAACTACTTCATTGCACCGAACGAAATAACTAAAGCTCATAACAATTAGAACGTAGGATCGGTAAATTTCGCTGTGTGCCCATCTTAGAATGAGATTCCGTCTGTTCGAGGGGACTCTGTGAAATTGCCCCTAGAACGACTGGGAACTGAGGTTGGTTGAGACGGAGAAGGTCCCCCTTTCTTTTGCGGGGTCAGACCAGGTGACTGGTGTTGACGACGTGGAGGAGATCGGTAAGGACTGGCGGCTCAATGCCAGTTCGAGGGGAGGTGGTGGTTTCCCGCCGGAGGAACGCCGCTACGAAGGCGCGCAACCGATGGAGGAGAGCCGGAGGAACACCGTTATTGAGGCGCAACCGAAGGAGGAAAATCGGAGGAACGCCGATATTAAAGCGCGCAACCGAAGGAGGAAAATCGGAGGAACGCCGTTATGAAGGCGCGCAACCGAAGGCGGAGGATCGGAGGAACGCCGATGAAGGCGCGCAACCGTAGATGGGAAATCGGAGGAACGCCAGTATAAGGCGCGCAACCGCAGGTCGGAATAAGAAAATGAAAAGAGAAAGCTATACAGAGACAGGAATATTGGTAGAGGAAGAATGAGATAGAGAGAGAGAGAGAGAGAGAGAGAGAGAGAGAGAGAGAAAGATATAGCTGAGCGTCGTCGTCGAGGAGGTGGTTTCCTGGTGGTCGTTGTCGTGGGCCACAGAGCTTTGCACATGCGGTAGAATCTCGCACTAACGGGATGCCGACTTAGGCTATGGTGACCGATGGTTAAGTACTTAAACTTACGTCGAGGATCACGATGTGGCTTATTATACTGAACACTCCAGGAGTCAGAGCTCGTCTCTTCGTCGGGCAGAGGTTCGTTCCTTGCAGAGCTCGGAGAACTGAATGCGAATTTCGGGCTCCGAGGCCCGGCTTTTATACGGTTAGCTTCTAGGGCAAGTGCGGAAGTGGTGATGAGCGGGGGCCCTTCGATCATTTTCCGAATTTATTAATTTGTACCTTAATTAGTACTCTGACTAACTTGAGTCTTGGTTAGCTTCAAAGGGGGCCGTCGCTCGTCATTTTCCCGCTTACTCCTTGTTAATTGCATTTTGCGTTCCCGAATTATTAACGCGCATACCAATCTCGCGTTTTTATGCGTAGAGTTCCGCTATGCCGTTCCGAAGCACGTAAGCATGGAATGTTCTAGAATATCGTCGCTACGATATTAAAAGTACTAATTTCCCGTGGTTTGAACGCGCGGTTTGCCGCGGCGGCTTGAAGTGGAGGCGCGTAGCGCCCCCGTACGTGGCTGAGATCAACGGTTCGTGTGGAGGTAGCTCCGTTCTTGAGAACCGTTGATGTCAGCTCTTTAACGGCTTATCTCTTAATAATTAACGCAAATTCTTCGGATTTCTTTTATTAGGGCGAGAGCGGAGGCGCCAAAGGTCGGCCTGTTACAGTGGTTGCCTCGGCTGTCGCGTAATTAATCCAGAAACGATAGTAGAGAAAATAAGAATAGAGAACGTATAAGATCACGTGCTGCGCGCGTGCTACGTGCCGCGTCGCGCCGGTGCTATCTATCGGGTGGGCAATCATTCATGCTTCTTGAATAGTGACGTCTGGCGAAAAATAATTCGTCGGACGTAACAGCGCGAATAAAAATGAGCTTGCAGACATTTCAATAGATGGTAAAGGAGATCTTTTGTTAACAATGAATGAAAGAGAAAAGAGAGTCATTAAATTAACAAATGTAATTGCAACAAGGGATGTATCGAAAATTTACTATCTTTAAGAAAGCTGGCTGATGCGGGGTTCAGTATTTACTTAGATGACAAACTATTAAAAGTTTATAATAAACTGACAAATAAAATAGTTCTTGAGGGAATTTATGAGAAACCAAATTGGATCATACAATTTTAGGTTAAAAATAATAATGTAGAGGACAATGACAAAGTAGAATGTGTTGTGTATAGATGTAGAGCAGATATAGTTTCACATTGTGAGCTTCCTGAACAATAGCAAGCAAACATTCAGAACAATGAATTATCCATTTCGAGGGAGAATTAGATAAGAAGGATAATGTTGGCTCTGCGATTGGGAGGGAGAATGAAAGAGAGCTCACGAATGTGAGCGAAGATACAGAACATAACAATACTGAACTGGAGCAGGTCATCAAGTTAGAGGATATACAGACGATAGAGAACATAGAAGAAATGTTTGAAAGCTCAGTAACGGAAAAAGCAAGGAAATTAGAGAAAATAAATGAGGCAATGTTATGGCATGTTAGATTAGGTCATGCGCCGTTAAACTATCTAAGGCAATTACAAAAAGTAGAAAAGAGATTAGAGAAAGTTAAATTTGATAACTCCATATTAGAGTGTGAAGTCTGTATAATGGCAAAGATGGCAAAACTGCCATTTAAAGAAAATAGAATTAGAGCACAGAGACCACTACAGACAATACATACGGACAATACATTATGGGTCCAATAAAACCTGTATTCTATCCAGGAAGAAAGAGGTTTATAATCACCTTTATAGATGACCGTTCTAAATAAGCAGAAACCTACTCTTTGAAGACAAAAGATGAATCAGGAGCGGCCCTAGAGAAATATTTAATATCTGCCAGAAAATTAGGAAAAGAAGAAAAGTTGTGCTACGTGAAGTCAGACCAAGGCAAGGAATTCACGGGAGGCGCATTTAGAGAGGTGTTAAAAAGAGAAAAGATAGAAGCCATCTATGCACCACCATACACTCCGGAACACAATGGAGTTGCAGAAAGGTTCAACAGAACATTTCAAGAAAAAGTCAGAACATATATGTTCGACTTGGGATTACCAAAGAGTATGTGGGAGCTGGTAGTTGACGCTGCTGTGCATGCGTACAACTGATCTCCACACAAAACTGTAGAGTACGAGATCCCGTTGAAGAAGTTCTCATCAGAGACGAATTGTCATTTTGAGCAAATGAAGAGATTCGGATGCATTGGTATGCAAGAGTACCGAAGCCTACGTTGAAATTTGATAAGAGAGCTATTAGAGGTGTGTTGATGGGATATACTGACACTGGCTATATACTCTGGCATCCAAGCACAAGAAAGTTTATAGAGTCCCGACACATCTGATTCAATGAAACATATAAAGATGTATATAAAAATAGTTAACTAGAAGAGGAAAAAGACTCAAATAAAAATTGGATGACAGAATTCGTAGAAGATGAGGAAAAGGGAAAACAAAAACTAGAGATTCCTGAGAAAAGGAAAAGAGGAAGACCGAGAAAACAATCGAAACAATTAGATGTACAGAAGCAGGAGGTCAAGCGAAAGGAAAGTGAATGAACTCCAATGACTAGAAGTAAAACCAAAAGAAAACTGGAAGATAATGAAAACACTAATGTTCGGAGAACAATAGAGGATACTAGTTATGCTGATTGCATTACTGTGAAAAATATTCAGCAGAACGCAGAGAATGAAGATGAATTGAGTCGATGTCTTCTGGCATCACTACATAAAGAGCCCTCGACATATGAAGAAGCTATGAGCTTGGTCTTGTTGAGCTTGGCCTGGGTGAGCAATGGGCAATGGTACCAGCATAATCAATGCCAGTGTGGAAATGCACGTGAGGGTGTGGCCCGAGGCAGAGGTAGTTGGCCCATCAGTTGATGTGCACGAATCCCCCTTTGTCGAGCACACACCACACACCGCAATGTCCAACATGATTGTCTGATGTGCGCCAAGGAGAGTGTGTTTTGATCCACATGAGAGTCACTTGAGAGTCCGTCCATGAATATGTTGCGTTAATGTCCATCTTGAGTGTGGCATGGACATGTTTGACAAATTTTGAGAGAAGTTTTGGCGCCTTTGAATCACTGCTAGTGTTAGACCAGTGTGAAATTGAGGGCCTGGTCAGGCCTGTGAGATCCTTTCTAATGTTGAGCCACCGTGAGCCAACTTGAGATGGTGACGGTTCATCCCAGGTGATCTTGTGGAGCCAGAGTTCTTGCAGAAGCCTCTTGGCTCTTATCACGAGTGGTGAGACAAACCAGGTGGATCCGATATCTGTGCCACTTCAGATAGTACACGTCGCTTAGTGAGATGTTCTTGGTGAGATATTCCTTATCCTTGTGGAGTCGTCTGAGAAGTCGCGGGAGCGGATGCTTGGTGAGCAGTCACCCCTTTCATCGCAGATTTAGATGAGCTGGGTGTGACTCCCAATGAGTGGCCCGAGGGAGAAGACGTGGCCTCCACCCTCTCCAATGCTCGCGCCCTGGCATTGAGGAAGGCCTCAAGTTGCGTGAAGCGCGGATACTCGTGAGATGATCCAAGCGAGGTTTCCCAAGCCACTCTGGTGTTTCTGTCCAGGAAGCGTGACACGTGATGGACTAAAAGGCAATCCCACATGTGCTTCGCTATACCGAGTGATTTTAGAGCTCTGTCCACCTCGGACACTGTTGTGACCAGCTGGATGAGCGATGCGGCATTCTTGGGTGAGGCAGGCGTAAGGTTGAAGAGACTGTCAAAGTGAGCTTGGATGATGAGTCGCTTGTTCTCAAACCTTGAGGTGAGCAGATCCCAGGATGGTTGAAGAGAATCTCCGGTGAGAGGCAAACCTCGAATGAGCTGCTCCGCAGTGCCCTGCACACAGCCTCTGAGATAATGAAGTTTTTCCACGTCATTGAGCTTTGAGTGCTGCAAAATTACAAAGGAGAAAAGATCACGGAGGGCGGGCCACATTGAGTAATCACCATTAAATTTAGGCAACTTAATGTCTGGCAAACGTGAGTGGACTGGCTTTTCCGGATCAGGAGAGGCTGCACGCGGTGAAGATGGTGTAAGTCGTTGTTTGACCTTGTTGAGCAGTAGCTTAGCTGAGATCACGAGATGAGCTTCCTTTTCATGGATGTTGTCCGCAAAATACTCGTGATCCAAATATGCCTCAGGCCATGTTATCTCAAAATAAGCGTGCTCCTTCAAGAACGCCTTGTGTAGCTCCTCCAATTGAGACAGCGCTGCTTTGACCTCCCCTAGTGATGTGCTCTCGGGGTCAATAACCTTCGCGTCTGCAATGAGTTTTATAGTATTAACACGACTCATTTGTGATCTCACCTTGAGTGTGAGCTCGGTGGAGAGACGAGCTGGAGAAGTCTGACGTGAGCTGCGTCCTTGAGTGTTGCCAGAAGCTGTCCCCTTGGGGGCGGTCTGTTGACCAGGCACATTGAGGGTGAGAGGAGATTGCCGACCCGAGGTTGTCTTTTCCTCAGCATCTGCTTTGGCGGCCTTCTCTGTGTCAGGCATGATGAGCGGAACACGATGATCACACTACACCATACGATGAGCACCACTGAGCAGCACGAGCCACCGAACAGACTGAGAGCCGATATCGTTGGTTCGCCACGAAACAGCGAAGTTCAAATTCACAGTCACAGCTGTTCGATTTGCCCGCGAGAATGTCACTTCGTTACTGCGTGATCCCGTCGTGACAACACTGAGATGGCAGCGAGTCCTTGTCACGAAAGGCGCACGTGATCACAAGGAGACGCACTGAATTTATGCCGTATGAGAAAAGATCGAGTGCTCGCAAACTTGAGTGTCACGTCACCACGATGCATCCGGCTCGAAGGACCAAATGTTTGGGAAATTTCCTCTCTTTCGAATCTCGTCATGAGATCGAAAGATTGCGAAATCTCCGTGAGCGCTGCGAGTGGATCGGGGGGTGAGAAAGGACGTGCAACGTGGCGAGAATGACTACGATTCCGTTTCTTTAAAATGAGTTGAACGTTTAATTGTATTTACACTATGTACAGTTGAGAATTATCGAGGCGTATGATTGAGGTGAGCGAGTCCGTCGAGCTCTCTTGTTCGCACAAGACCGTCGGGGATGTGCCGCCCGTTGAGCCGGTGGCCGGCTACAAGCGAGCGTGCACGTACAGAATGAGAGGCCTTTGCGCAGAACACCGATGCACTCGATTTGAGCACTGAACGAATGAGTCTGTCCCGGGTGAGCACTAATTGTCAATGTGAGATGGCACTGAGATAGCACTTGAGCGCGAGCACGATAATTCAGTCAGCCGATGCGAACTTTTACCACAGCTTATTACGGCTGCTTTCACACGACGACTGAACTCTCTGAGCTTGCGCGCAAGCCCTCGAGCCATGTTCACGGGCCCGACACGTGCTCGTTACCCGGTCGCGCGGTCCCGCGCGCGGTACCACTGGGCCTCGCGAATAACCGTGAGATGGCGAGGGCAGTACAATTGAGATAACTGGAGGAATCTCAAACACAAACATAATTGGAGCGATAATTTTGAATGGAGCAGCGACAGGGGAAATTGCATATATACCGCGAATTCCAATGATACCAACGGATTTGCCATTTCAATTTAGAAGATTACAATTTCCCATAAAAGTGTCTTTTGCAATCACAATAAATAAATCACAGGGTCAAACTTTTAAATATATTGGGATAGATTTGCGTAAAGAGTGTTTTTCGCATGGACAATTATATGTAGGTTTATCAAGAACAGGAAATGTGGAGAATCAATTTATATTAATACCAGAAAGTAATAAAACAAAAAATATCATTTATCCAGAGGTGTTGTGAAAAAAGATAAATACATACAGTGTTCGATAATTGCCGGGTGTCCCATAGAGGGTAGATAAAGCAAAGCAAAATGAATAGAAAAATCATATAACGTATAACAAAATTTGGAAAAGATATGAAGAAATTAATTTTAATGTGTAAGTGAATGAGAGCGCGGAAGGCGAAGAAATTAGGAATTGAGTTATAAGAGTGGATTAGGCCTACTGGGGAAAGCACTATAAAAAAAACGCACCATGCTATCTACCGCAAGGTGATGAGGAAATGATAGCGCCTCATTTAAATGAAATAGAAAAAAAGAGGAGAATAAATAGTTTTGTAGAAAAATATGTTTATGTATGTCTCGGGGCGCACGTCGCGAGCGTTAGCCGAAACGCACGCAGCCGGTTACGCGCAAACGGAGGAGATGAGTGTTTTAACTAAAAGCGTTCTATTTCGAGCGTAGCTAGGGCTAAGGCAAATCGATCGATAATATTATATGGTTTCGACGAACGGTGTACAGTATTATATGTCTCATTCGCTTATATGAAAAAATTAATTACTGGATAAATAATTCGAAGATAGAAAGATAGCAAATAAATTAAATATCTAAGTCAAAAACAATTTAGCACTGTTTTGAAATTGGAGAGATTTATATAAAACACCATGTATATATGGGTGTGCGTGTGTGTGTGTGTGTGTGCCACGCGAAGACAAGCGAGCGAAGCCACGGGAGATGCTATAAAAAAAATAAAGAGTGAGAGTCACGCGTGAGACCGCGAAGCCGCGGGGCGTGCTAGTTTATTATAAAAGAAAAGTGTTCGGGGTGACATGTTGATGCATCATATGCGCGCTAGAATACGATTATGTATTTCTTTAAGTTTCATGACCATTTTGGATTTATTGCCAGATTTTGCTGATATGGGCTTCGCATAATAATCTAGAATATTCTTGCGGTCGGGTGAGTGTTTGTGTCGACAACCAACTCACCGTGACCCTACGCGAAAGCCCATGTCAGCAAAATAGAAATCTTTATTATTCTTAAAATACATTGATGTTCGGTCCGATTCCTGCGCGTGCACGTGATTCGTCGTTCCTTCCGCTGATCTCCAATGAGCCACGCGAACGCTCCGCGCATGTTAAATGCGTGAGGTGTCTTCCCGAGCCCTGTGACTACCAATCACGCCAAGAGCCCTGGGGTCACCTCAAAATGTTCAAAGTGGCGAGAGATCATTGGTGATCGTCGGAAGAATCCTGCTTCACTATAAAAGCCGCGACTAAAGGAATCGCAACTCCTTTTCTTTCGTTTCTCGCTTGCGTTAACACGTATCTAATCTCTTGCGAAGCGCGTGCCGACAGAGAGCCGATCCTTATCTCTCAGCGGGTTTAAAGGCGTCAGTTTCGCGTATTGTGTATCTGCAATTTATTGTTTATTGTATAATTAATTTGTATGTTAAATGATGTGAAATATACATTTAAGAAACAAATACGTGGATCTCATCCTCAAAGTATCCTACGTCCAGTGAACACTCTTGACGCGTCCCGAACAAAAAGTTTAACAGCTAAAGTAAACAATTATACAAAAATTAATTGTAATTAGTTAATCTTAAATAGTTATGTTTATTATTTGCAGAATGTTTCCTGAAACATTTGACATTATTTTACATTTAATTGGGCCAACTTTATCTCAAACAAATGTAACAGGAAGAAAACAAGTCCAGGAAAACAACTGTTGATAGTATTATGGTTCTTGGCTACTCCAGACTTTTACAGGTATTTGCTTATTCTTGTAATAACTGGTATAATATAAATAAATCTGGTATTGTTATTTACTTGTAGAATTGTATAACATATTTGTTTTGACAAATCAATATGTGTGTAATTTGGCGTTGGAGAAGCAACAGTATTCAGGGCAGTAAGGCGGATAATGTATGCTTCACATTGTCTTGCACCAAGATTTATACAATAGCCAAAAGATGATGCACTAAATCGCACTATTGAAGAATTTTCAAAAGTAAGAGGTTTCCCTAATGTAATTGGAGCCCTTGATGGATCGCACATCAAAATTAGAGCTCCAAAGAAAGATGCTGCTTCATACTTGTGCAGGAAACAATTTTATGCAATTCATTTGCAAGCTGTATGTAATACAAAATCCGTGTTCACTCATTGCTATGCGGAGCATGTTGGTTCCGTACACGATGCAAGAGTATTTAGAAATTCTACGCTTGCTCATTACACTGAGGAGCCAAATCAATATTTTCCCTCTGACACTCATATCGTAGCAGATGCTGCTTACGCAATTCATCCACATGTAATGGTTCTGTTACGTCCGACGAAATATTTTTCGTCAAACGTTACTATTTGAGAGGCATTAATGATCGCCTACCCGATAGATAGCACAAGCGCGACACGGCACGTAGTACGCGCGCAGCACGTGATCTCATACGTTCTCTATTCTCATTTTCGCAAACGCTACTGTTACCATTTACGGATTAATTACGCGACAGCCGAGGCAACCACTGTAACAGGCTAACCTTTGGCGCCTCCGCTTTCGCCCAAATAAAAGAAATCAGTAATAAATGCGTTAGTTATTAAGAAATAAACCATTAAAGCGCTGACATCAACGATTCTCAAGAACGGAGCTATCTCCACACGAACCGTTGATCTCAGCTACGCACGGGGGCGCTATACGCCTTCACTTCAAGCCGCCGCGGCAAACCGCGCGTTCAAACCACTAGAAATCGATGCGTTTAATATCGTCGCATATCTAGCGACGGAGATCTAGAATATTCCGTATTTACGCACTTCAGAGCGGCATAGCGGAACTCCATGCACAAAAACACGAGATCGGTATGCACGTTAATTACTCGGGAGCGCAAAAGGAAATTAACAAGGAGTAAGCGGGAAAATGACGAGCGGAGGCCCCTTTTTAAGCTAACCAAGACTCAAGTTAGTCGGAGTACTTAATGTACAAATTGATAAATCAGGGAAATAATCGAAGGGCCCCCGCCCATCACCACTTCCGCACTTGCCCCATAAGCGAACAGTATACAGGGTGAGTCATAACATTTGTACCAGAGCTCGTGAGAAGGTAGAACGGATCGAGATGAACAGAAAAGTCCTGAACCATTTGCAATTTTCGCAATAGTTAACGAGTAATAAATTATCGAAAATCGTCGTCTTTGCCCTGCCCACTGTCCAATTCGAGCGCGTGGCGAGATGTAACCGCACGGCGATCGATATTGCCAGGCGAGGGGTGAGGACGCGAGACGCGGGAGCGGCGACGAAAGCTCGCCGGCAACGGCGCGCT